CTTTTCTTGATCTGAAGTTGCCATGTTTTCCGCGATAGGAATGTCTTCTTCCTAAAATAGAAATATTTATATAAATAAATGATTAAAACAACATTTGCTTCTGAACCTAACTCTAACAAATATATTATGTAAGGTACGATAGAACAAAGAATAGTCCACACAAAGACAAATCGAACTTTACAACACAAGTTTGTAACATCTTCATCACTTGATAACTACAGGTATAAGATGTGTCATTTTTATTTGAAAACATATTGATATATTAAATAGTATTACAAACGTGATACATAATATGGAAACATATGAAGTTCCAGCATTCAGAGGATAAAAAAGGATTCGAAAAGGATGACGATCCAAATAGCGTTTCATTGTAAACATCTGTTGACCTTGGTACAACACGATAACAATAGCATGTCATGTTGACCTTTGATATGACGATATCACAAATACTGTTGACCTTTGATGCAGCAATATCACGATGGTCGGTCATTTTGACCTTTGATTTCACATCACAAATACTGTTGACCTTTGATGCAGCACTACATTAGCCTGACATGTTGACCATTGATATGACGATATCACAAAAACTGTTGACCTTTGATGCAACAATATCACAATGGCCTGTCATGTTGACCATTAATATGACGGTATCACTAATATTGCTAACCTTTGATGCAGCCCTACATTAGCCTGTCATGTTGACCTTTGATATGACGATATCACTAATACTGTTGACCTTTGATGCAGCACTACATTAGCCTGTCATGTTGACCTTTGATATGACGATATCACTAATACTGTTGACCTTTGATGCAGCACTACATTAGCCTGTTATGTTGACCTTTGATATGACGATATCACTAATACTCTTGACCTTTGATATAGCAATTTCACATTAGCCTTTGATGCGACACACTCACAATGACTCTTGTCAACAGTTGTCGAAACAAAGTTTCCATTATGTACTTATTTTTATACCATATGTCATCGTTGTTTTAATATTATCTCGCATAATGGTATAAGCGTAAAATATATTATCAAATTATTGAAAAATCAAATTTACAAAAAAAAAATATATATCTAGATTCTTCTATATAACAATCTAAAATTAAAATAAATCAAGGACATTTAAATGTAAAAAAAGTCCAAAGTGATGACACTGCAGTGGTAATCGGGAAGGTTGTGGTAAGGCAACATTCGGATATTTATTAATAAATGTTACGTTGGCTTGAAATTTAAACAAACACCATATCCAGACTAGACACCCGTTTTTGAACTTGTTTACGCCGGTGTCGGTCAACCTTGTCGAGACTTTCCAAAACTATTTTTTAGATTATTCAAAAAACACTCACATTGTTACAGTTCGAGAGCTGTCTACGATTGTTTGTTACGTAAATTCGTATTTGGTTAGACAACATATCGCTCGTATAACATTCACATTTATTCAATATAAAAAATGTCAAAAAGATCAAAATAACAATTGATACAGAAATATTTTGAATAACAATTGATAAATGTAAAATAAATCCATAGTCACAATAAGTAGGTCAAACACCAAACTGGAGTTTACTAAAAAAAATGCAAACGAAGACGAGGCAGACCAGGTTATGCAATGTCCATACAAAAACAAGAATATCTGTTTTCACAAAAATTGTGGTAGAATAAATCGCAAATTTTCACAAAGTGATTTAACATGATTAACCAAAAGATGTTAATATTTTGACGAGCAAAGTTAACACACATCTTTCATACGTTCTCAAAATGTCTGTTTCAAACAACAGTTTTTGATGCAGTTTATATTTGTGAATGAAGGCCAGATCATTTATCTGCTTTAGTTTATTTCGAGAGGGATAAAGTCAGAATATTCGTATAATAGACAGCAACATTTTCTTTTACATTTAGCTTAAGACAAAGAACTGTTCGAAAAAATATGATGAGGTTTATTCTAAATTACTTATTTCTGAATTAGGGACTTAGCAAGTCATTAAAAGTGTTTTATTATGTATACATATATATATTTAAACTAAATAGATACCAACCTTGTTCATCGGCCGATCGAAACCCGCCTTCCTATTCGGGACAGGTACATGTATACATCATTAACATCACAAACCCTATCTAAATGTGCTACTTTTAATACACAGATGACATAATTGGGATAATACGATGGCGAAAAGGAAAATCCCGTACGGGAATTTCCATAGGAAATTTGAAATATCGTAGTATGTTCCAAACATGATATTTACACTGTATCACTATTACAATGTGGCAAAGATAAACATTAATCACTCGCTTTAGTGATGTGTATGCAATCTCCAGAGCTACATGCTCCCTTTCCAAGATAATACGAGTACTACACATGCAGACGACACCAACCAGTATGGATGTACAAAAATATATTCATGGTTTAAGTTTTGTAAGCTTAATACATTTTAGATAACTAGCTTGTAAATATCAATTATTTTGAGCAGATATGTGTAGTTAAGTATTAAAATACAACATAATAAAATATCTTGCAAGATTTAAAACTGTTCCTATCAGAAGAAATAGGAAAAATTATAAAATACTGCTCTAAGTTAAAAAACAAAATAATTATTTGAAAATCTGACGTAATCCGTCAAGGAGCTTACGAAATAGAGATGTACATATGTATCACACTTCTTTATCGACTTAAACTATGCATGTCTGTACTTCCGTGTTTGACACGGGAAATCAGTGCTGGGATGACGTATTATTTATTAATGTATGAGGTGGGAAAACAGAGATATAGACTGTCTGATTTGAACTACTTCCTGCTCCACCGGGCTACACAGTGGGATTGGATACATTGACTTACTTTTCTATGGTCACGTTATTGTCTCTATCTATAATTATTTTTGGGATATAGATGATTTGTTTCGGTGGCAAAGAAATTCTAGTGGGGTACACTGTTTGGGATAATTTCTCCATTCATTTAGATTTATTGTGTGTTTCTATCGCTGATAAACATGAGTACATACAAACACAGACACTTAAAATTCTCATTTTGATGTTTTTGTAAAGCTTCACAGAAGATATAATGGGTCGAAGCTTTGGCATCATGTGAATTAGTGACACAGATCCTCACCAAGAGATGACAATAATGAACAAACGATTTGATTAAAAAGAAGTGATGTTACACACACATACACATATATGCTATTTTACTCAGTGAAAGGACAACTGAATGATATATGATTAAAATCATATTACCAAATTTACAAAACATTTCTTCCCCCTTATACGTATATAATAAAAATCAAATAAACTGAACGTCAAGCCAACATAAAAACCATAGATATAGTTATTCACAATCCATATTCTGACTACACCGTATACAGCGAAGTATGTAAGCCTTGTCGAGACTTTCTTACCTACTTTTATATTACTCAGAATACCACAGATAGTTCGAGAGCTGTTTACATTGTATGTTACGCATTATTGTTTCGACCAAAATTGATTATATAATAAACAAATTCAATATACGATGATGTCTCTACCTAGGGGACAATCGTTTCATTTACGTTTTGAAGAGACATGAATTATTGTCAATACCAAGTATTTCAGAGTATTTAATATCCCAACATAACTAGAATATAATTTTGTTTCACACAATAATGTCATGGTATGAATTGTTAATTCTAATATTTTTACCCAGAAATCAACATCAAACTAGAACCTGCTGGTCTGTTTATCATCTCTTGAGGCATAGTTTTCTGTTTTTACTTTACAAAGATGGAATCCAACTATAACCATGGCCAATAGTGGCCGAGCCCTTTTGGCTTTAATGTTGACCGGTCGCCCAGGGTAGGAAGGTAATGGGTTCTGTCTCCAGGCCGGGACATACTAAAGTCCTTAAAAATGGTAGTTGTAATTCCCTGCTTAACGTTCAGCAATTAGGGGAATGGCAACAACTGGTTCACCTGTTGTCAGTATAATGTTACCAGGCGGAATGCTGTGCTGGTTACCTTCGGCATGAAATAGCACTACAAAGTCGGCATCAGATCCGCGCTATCACAAGGAGGCAGTTAAACCAACATACTGTAGCCAGGTCAACTCTACATTGGTTCATGACAGAATAATCAATACTGTGATTTCATTTTAGTGGTTTATTACATATCACAAAGAAGACCCCTATCAATTCGACAGGGGTCTTAATGACAATTCTTATAATGGCTTGTCCTCTATATATTCAATTCATATTATGATATTGCTGTACTTTAAATTCATAGTATGTAGATATAGGTCGTCTGTATAGGTTGTACGAGAACATGTTACATGTACCATGTCAAGTGCAGGAATGCCGGAAAACTCACAGGTACACGTACGAACACGCAATCACGTGACAAGACATTGACGTGACAATACAATACAGGTGAAAAATACTCAGTTGGACATGTGAACTGCACAAACAGTTTTGACAAATACATGTATTAAAATAGATAGCGTTAGAGATACCTGTAATAAAATAATTTAAAAGTACAAAATAAGTAATACTAATTAAATACTAAAAATCTAACAATTTGACGGGCTTTTCACTTTAAGGACTGATTTAACGAGTTACTTCCCTTACAACAGTAGTAAAAGTCCTGGTATCTGGTAAAATTACATGTTCGAATTTGACCTCTATCAAATACCGGAAGTTGACATTAATGGTCATTTATGTCAATAAACCTTGTAGCCCATCATCCTAGCATGCTACAGACCAAATATCAATACCCTCGGCATTTCCGTTATTGAGAAGGAATCTTTTGAAGATTCTAACATAATTGAATCCAGTGACCTTGAACATGGGTCAAGGTCATTTATATTATCAAACTTGATAGTTCATTGCTTGAGCATGATATTCAACAAATATCATGACCTTGGGTAACTTGGTTATTGAGTAGAAGATTTTTGAAGTTGTTACCCTGAAAAAGCACATATGAAATTTGACCCCTAAATAACTCAAAATTCGACCTGGTAAACTCAAAATGTTTTCTTCCAAAAATATGTGCGCATTTGTGTTGTCCTCATCATACCTGAATGTAAAGTAAATCTATCGAACAATTTTCGAAATATTCTTGATTAAAAGTAATTTTAATTTTTAAACATTTGAAATTTGTGACCTTGATTGTAACCTTGATAGTCGATCAATGTCAACCATTTTTTCAAACCTGACACCCCGACATCTTAGAATCTTTATTATTAAATATAATTTAGATATGTATAAAGTTGTTTCCCGACCATGTATGGTAATACCTAACGTATGTGATATGTATAACGTTGTTTCCTGACCATGTGTGGTAAGACCTTACGTATGTGATATGTATAAAGTTGTTTCCTGACCATGTATGTTAAGACCGAACGTATGTGATATGTATAAAGGTGTTTCCTGACAATTTATGGTAAGACCTTACGTATGTGATATGTATAAAGCTGTTTCCTGACCATGTATGGTAAGACCTAACGTATGTGGTATGTATAACCATGTATGGTAAGACCTAACGTATGTGATATGTATAAAGTTGCTTCCTGACCATGTATGGTTAGACCTTACGTATGTGATATGTATAAGGTTGTTTCCTGACCATGTATGGTAAGACCTAACGTATGTGATATGTATAAAGTTGTTTCCTGACCATGTATGGTAAGACCTAACGTATGTGATATGTATAAAGTTGTTTCCTGACCATGTATGGTAAGACCTAACGTATGTGATATGTATAAAGTTGTTTTCTGACCATGTATGGTAAGACCTAATGTATGTGATATGTATAAAGTTGTTTCCTCACCATGCATGATAAGACCTAACGGATGTGATATGTATAAAGTTGTTTCCTGACCATGTATTAATGTATGTGATATGTATAAAGTTGTTTTCTGACCATGTATGGTAAGACCTAAACTTATGAGATATGTATAAAGTTGTTTCCAGACCATGTATGGTAAGACCTGACGTATGTGATATGTATAAAGTTCTTTTCTGACCATGTATGGTAAGACCTACTGTATGTGATATGTATAAAGTTGTTTTCTGACCATGTATGGTAAGACATAATGTATGTGATATGTATAAAGTTGTTTCCTGACCATGTTTGGTAAGACCTTATGTATGTGATATATATAAAGTTGTTTCCTGACCATGTATGGTAAGAACTAAACTTATGTGATATGTATAAAGTTGCTTCCTGACCATGTATGGTAAGACCTTACGTATGTTATATGTATTAAGTTGTTTCCTGACCATGTATGGTAATACCTAACGTATGTGATATGTATAAAGTTGTTTTCTGACCATGTATGGTAAGACCTAACGTATGTGATATGTATAAAGTTGTTTCCTGACCATGTATGGTAAGACCTAACGTATGTGATATGTATAAAGTTGTTTCCTGACCATGTATGGTAAGACCTAACGTATGTGATATGTATAAAGTTGTTTCCTGACCATGTATGGTAAGACCTAACGTATGTGATATGTATAAAGTTGTTTCCTGACCATGTATGGTAAGACCTAACGTATGTGATATGTATAAAGTTGTTTCCTGACCATGTATGGTAAGACCTAACGTATGTGATATGTATAAAGTTGTTTCCTGACCATGTATGGTAAGACCTAACGTATGTGATATGTATAAAGTTGTTTCCTGACCATGTATGGTAAGACCTAACGTATGTGATATGTATAAAGTTGTTTCCTGACCATGTATGGTAAGACCTAACGTATGTGATATGTATAAAGTTGTTTCCTGACCATGTATGGTAAGACCTAACGTATGTGATATGTATAAAGTTGTTTCCTGACCATGTATGGTAAGACCTAACGTATGTGATATGTATAAAGTTGTTTCCTGACCATGTATGGTAAGACCTAACGTATGTGATATGTATAAAGTTGTTTCCTGACCATGTATGGTAAGACCTAACGTATGTGATATGTATAAAGTTGTTTCCTGACCATGTATGGTAAGACCTAACGTATGTGATATGTATAAAGTTGTTTCCTGACCATGTATGGTAAGACCTAACGTATGTGATATGTATAAAGTTGTTTCCTGACCATGTATGGTAAGACCTAACGTATGTGATATGTATAAAGTTGTTTCCTGACCATGTATGGTAAGACCTAACGTATGTGATATGTATAAAGTTGTTTCCTGACCATGTATGGTAAGACCTAACGTATGTGATATGTATAAAGTTGTTTCCTGACCATGTATGGTAAGACCTAACGTATGTGATATGTATAAAGTTGTTTCCTGACCATGTATGGTAAGACCTAACGTATGTGATATGTATAAAGTTGTTTCCTGACCATGTATGGTAAGACCTAACGTATGTGATATGTATAAAGTTGTTTCCTGACCATGTATGGTAAGACCTAACGTATGTGATATGTATAAAGTTGTTTCCTGACCATGTATGGTAAGACCTAACGTATGTGATATGTATAAAGTTGTTTCCTGACCATGTATGGTAAGACCTAACGTATGTGATATGTATAAAGTTGTTTCCTGACCATGTATGGTAAGACCTAACGTATGTGATATGTATAAAGTTGTTTCCTGACCATGTATGGTAAGACCTAACGTATGTGATATGTATAAAGTTGTTTCCTGACCATGTATGGTAAGACCTAACGTATGTGATATGTATAAAGTTGTTTCCTGACCATGTATGGTAAGACCTAACGTATGTGATATGTATAAAGTTGTTTCCTGACCATGTATGGTAAGACCTAACGTATGTGATATGTATAAAGTTGTTTCCTGACCATGTATGGTAAGACCTAACGTATGTGATATGTATAAAGTTGTTTCCTGACCATGTATGGTAAGACCTAACGTATGTGATATGTATAAAGTTGTTTCCTGACCATGTATGGTAAGACCTAACGTATGTGATATGTATAAAGTTGTTTCCTGACCATGTATGGTAAGACCTAACGTATGTGATATGTATAAAGTTGTTTCCTGACCATGTATGGTAAGACCTAACGTATGTGATATGTATAAAGTTGTTTCCTGACCATGTATGGTAAGACCTAACGTATGTGATATGTATAAAGTTGTTTCCTGACCATGTATGGTAAGACCTAACGTATGTGATATGTATAAAGTTGTTTCCTGACCATGTATGGTAAGACCTAACGTATGTGATATGTATAAAGTTGTTTCCTGACCATGTATGGTAAGACCTAACGTATGTGATATGTATAAAGTTGTTTCCTGACCATGTATGGTAAGACCTAACGTATGTGATATGTATAAAGTTGTTTCCTGACCATGTATGGTAAGACCTAACGTATGTGATATGTATAAAGTTGTTTCCTGACCATGTATGGTAAGACCTAACGTATGTGATATGTATAAAGTTGTTTCCTGACCATGTATGGTAAGACCTAACGTATGTGATATGTATAAAGTTGTTTCCTGACCATGTATGGTAAGACCTAACGTATGTGATATGTATAAAGTTGTTTCCTGACCATGTATGGTAAGACCTAACGTATGTGATATGTATAAAGTTGTTTCCTGACCATGTATGGTAAGACCTAACGTATGTGATATGTATAAAGTTGTTTCCTGACCATGTATGGTAAGACCTAACGTATGTGATATGTATAAAGTTGTTTCCTGACCATGTATGGTAAGACCTAACGTATGTGATATGTATAAAGTTGTTTCCTGACCATGTATGGTAAGACCTAACGTATGTGATATGTATAAAGTTGTTTCCTGACCATGTATGGTAAGACCTAACGTATGTGATATGTATAAAGTTGTTTCCTGACCATGTATGGTAAGACCTAACGTATGTGATATGTATAAAGTTGTTTCCTGACCATGTATGGTAAGACCTAACGTATGTGATATGTATAAAGTTGTTTCCTGACCATGTATGGTAAGACCTAACGTATGTGATATGTATAAAGTTGTTTCCTGACCATGTATGGTAAGACCTAACGTATGTGATATGTATAAAGTTGTTTCCTGACCATGTATGGTAAGACCTAACGTATGTGATATGTATAAAGTTGTTTCCTGACCATGTATGGTAAGACCTAACGTATGTGATATGTATAAAGTTGTTTCCTGACCATGTATGGTAAGACCTAACGTATGTGATATGTATAAAGTTGTTTCCTGACCATGTATGGTAAGACCTAACGTATGTGATATGTATAAAGTTGTTTCCTGACCATGTATGGTAAGACCTAACGTATGTGATATGTATAAAGTTGTTTCCTGACCATGTATGGTAAGACCTAACGTATGTGATATGTATAAAGTTGTTTCCTGACCATGTATGGTAAGACCTAACGTATGTGATATGTATAAAGTTGTTTCCTGACCATGTATGGTAAGACCTAACGTATGTGATATGTATAAAGTTGTTTCCTGACCATGTATGGTAAGACCTAACGTATGTGATATGTATAAAGTTGTTTCCTGACCATGTATGGTAAGACCTAACGTATGTGATATGTATAAAGTTGTTTCCTGACCATGTATGGTAAGACCTAATGGATGTGATATGTATAAAGTTGTTTCCCGACCATGTATGGTAATACCTAACGTATGTGATATGTATAAAGTTGTTTCCTGACCATGTATGGTAAGACCGAACGGATGTGATATGTATAAAGTTGTTTCCTGACCATGTATGGTAAGAACTAATGTATGTGATATGTATAAAGTTGTTTCCCGACCATGTATGGTAATACCTAACGTATGTGATATGTATAACGTTGTTTCCTGACCATGTATGGTAAGACCTTACGTATGTGATATGTATAAAGTTGTTTCCTGACCATTTAATGGTAAGACCGAACGTATGTGATATGTATAAAGTTGTTTCCTGACAATTTATGGTAAGACCTTACGTATGTGATATGTATAAAGGTGTTTCCTGACAATTTATGGTAAGACCTTACGTATGTGATATGTATAAAGCTGTTTCCTGACCATGTATGTTCCTGACCATGTATGGTAAGACCTAACGGATGTGATATGTATAAAGTTGTTTCCTGACCATGTACGGTAAGAACTAACGTATGTGATATGTATAAAGTTGTTTCCTGACCATGTATGGTAAGACCTAACGTATGTGATATGTTTAAAGTTGTTTCCTGATCATGTTTGGCAAGACCTAACGTATGTGATATGTATGAATTTGTTTCATGACCATATATGGTAAGACCTAACGTATGTGATATGTATAAAGTTGTTTCCAGACCATGTATGGTAAGACCTAACGTATGTGATATAAATAAAGCTGGCAGTGTTGGATAGCTCTTGTGAGTGTTTACTACAAACAAACTTTAAAGAGAATGGGAGAGATAATAAATATATAAGCATCCTCGATATCCAGGGGTTACGGTCACTTCCGCTCTCTCCACTCCTGGAATATGTCATAGCAAAATTGAAGGCACGCGGCTAGCTATTTGATTAGTGTCAGGTTAAAAAACTGACCAATCGCTAGGCTTACACTTGTCCTTTGAAAATCACAGAGGAGCGACGGCCGACTTCAAAGCCAATACGTTTTACCATTACGCGACCGCTAGACTCTTTTGATGTTTATCAAAGGATCAAACTAGTTTTCACATCTCAACCACAAGGTGCTGCACACTGTGCCTTCTAGGGGTGCAGACAGCAAACGTGAGCGTAACTCCTGTAGAATGATTAAATGTAAATAATATAACAATAAAACAGTAAATTATAGGGATTGCTAACTCTATATTGTATCTGAGCAGATTAGAAGTGTTAGCACAATTTGCCACTTAAAATCTAAGGGCAAGGTAATGTAATCACATGTATTGCTGTCATTGATAATTCATAATCTTTGGGCAATGCCCTGTGACATAAACTATAGATAGGTCTTGGACACCTTCTGTTTATATATGTAATATATATACTATAGACTTATGTCAATTAAATCCTGTACTTATGTTTTGGCTTCATTGTATTACATGTGCATGTATGAAGACAAAATTTCAGCTGATTTTGTTAATTTTCTTTGACCCTAGCAAGTACTCAAATCAAATAATGTTTTTTTATCCGTAGTAGAAAAAACGCTTTTCGAATCTTCATAATCCATAATCCTACCTTGTTTTACCTTACCGGAATTACTCATTACTAAAGAGCAATAACACTAAAGGAGATAATTTCCACAGGGAAATAATTCTGTCAGCTGTTCTAGTCTTACAAAGAAATAAAACCAACTTTCTATCTAAATAAAATTTATTTTCAAAATAACAAACAGTGAAAAACAGAGAAAGATGTCTAAAACAACAATACAATCAGTGAACGTCATCTTTAATATGGCATTCTAATTACCAAACAAAAATCATATCAAAAACATTATTGCTTCACTCTAAAATAACTTACTGATACTCAAAGTCAATGTGAAAGACAATTACAGTAACTAAAGAGAAATCAAAACAAAAGGAGGGACACCATGACCTCCCTACAAATTTGACAAATGAAAAAGGAGGTTCAATGGTGTCTTCATGAGCAGACATCAAAGGGAGATAATCAAGAGAAATTTTATTATTTATGAATGTTTGGTGAAATTGAATTGTATTGACCAAATTGAAATCCCTTCAATTGTTATATAACATAACACGAGGCATGCATTGTAACTTTTATCTTAGGACACATTTCTTCTAGATGGAACCCAAGCAGTCTAGATCTTCCACCGTTTATGACAATTATTTGATACACAATGCCAACATATTTAGCTACAAAGTATCAAGATCTGTTCTGGATTTAGAAACACAGGGTCATGATACTCTTTTCATTGTAAGAATCACCGGTTAACGCTTGACAGTAACTCAATCAATCTCTTCAATTCTGATGTTTTTAATATTTAAGACAATAACTATGAATTATTCACATTTTATAAAGTGACAGCCTAATCTGATAATTTATACAACTGAAGTGATCTCAACACTAAAAGGTCATAAATGTTAAAATATTGATAAAATGGTAAATATCTTACAATAGGAATGACAAGAAACCCTTGGAAATCAATTTGGCCTCATAAATGCACAACAATTATGTGCACTGTATTATATGTTAATTTCCGTCAAAGGTTTGATGTTTCGTGCATTCAGATTTGGGTTTTTTTATGATTAAAAATCCTTAACAATTAAAATTGGAAATCTACAGCTATCTTTACACATTGCCCATAGATCATATAATAAAAGATAATCTGGACCTTTGGTTTTGATTTGTCTTTATGGTTAAAATATAAAATATTATCTACATCATACTTATTAAATATAGAACACATAAACAATAATATATATAAAACAATATGGCTACACAAACTGGTGATATTACAAACATTAAATGATAGTTTTAGTCATATAAAATGTATCACGTGAACTAAATACTGGAGGTGGGAGATCCAACGTCCGTGAATGAATGTTCGTATTGGTGCAGAGCCTCCAAGGGACGGATTCCTATGGAATTTGATAGTCCAGTCCAGGGGGTAATGGATATTAAGTAAAAAGATGACTGGACAACATTCACTTGAAGTTACTTGGCAAATTTGCCATGTAACTTCAAGTGGATGTTGTCCAGACACGTAAACAAAGAAAACATAAAATCTACAATAAAATTGAGCAACTCATTCAGAAGAATCTGCTGCTTTGGTTTCAAATAAAAAATACCATCATTCAAAGAATTGTTTTGATCCTATAACACATATGTTTATGTTATATACATGTATGCATTTACTTAACACTCACACAGCGCTCTTTTTTCTGAATTATTAGTACATGTAACAAATTTCTGCTTTCTAAGTGTTGTTTCATAGTACCGCCTCATTTTTATTTGCTTATACAGACATTGTATTGAAAGCATGATCGATTTTTAAACATATAACATACAACAATATTTAATCAGGGAATACTGAGTATACATGGGTATTTTATATTATGAAATGATAAGCAACCATTCATGAAAATGACAGATTTTTGTATAATTTAACAAATTGTATAGATGAAAAAATATTATAAAATGACAGAAATACTGAATACAGTAAAATATGCTGATGAATTATGAAAAGATATTTAGTTCCAGACAAAGAATTACATCATAAACCAAACACTATTACAAATTGCGCCTACAGTTATTAAAATAAATACTTAGGTCCCCGATAGTTATAAACATGTTTCACTGTATCAATCATCTTCTACAGTATATATATCTATGATGTTTTAAAATATAAGATTATTGTACATTGTATAATAAACCTGTCTATCCACACCTACTTATTACTTTGGTCCCCTATATAGTTATACACTTGTTTTACTGTATCAATCATCTTCTACAGTATATATATCTATCTATGATGTATTAAAATATTATTATTGCATAATAAATATACATATCGATGTATGTCAGCTGTAATTTACCCAAAGCACTATAAAACATTTGAAATACTCAAAAGCTTAAAAACTTAGGTGATTGTGTTATTGTCTGATGACACCACTCAGTAGGCCATTAGATACTAGTGCTATGACAACTCAGTTCAACATTGGATTACGTAACATTGTTACCTAAATTTCTGCTGATGTCTTTCCTTATTACTGTTTATTAGATTTAAGAGTTTTATAAACTTAAAATATAAAATAAAGGTGCATAATTCTATTTTTCATCTTGTTACATTAACTGTTTCTCAAATAAAAGTGTCTGTATTGGCTTTCAAATGGTCTATGGAGGCAATAGACCAACCAAGTCTTGATTCAGCCATGAACCTTCTTCACATCATGTACACATCAACAAACATTGTCACTCCTTCGGCTCAATTTGAACACATTACTTGGTCCCTTCCTGAACTATTGAGTCTCCAAAGCTCAATGTGGCATCACTGTTGAAAAGTACACAACCTCAGTCCATACACAGTGTATCAGATCACATAATCATTCCAGACACTGCAAGGAACAACAAATATTGAAATATTCGAGTTTCATAAGAAATTGTCACGAAAAAGTACCATTAATTTAACAGATAAAGGGTAGTGTGATGTCCAGAACCGTAGTTGGATATATATACCGGCAGTTATATTGTGACAACAGCATTTGTGGTGGCTTGAGCTTAATATACCGATACAACTTTTATATTACAATAGAAATAACTCAATAAAACTCCTGACCACTACCAACTATCTATTATTGAACACTCAAGTTCAAATGAGCAAACTGTCTCCTTGCATCCTGAATTACTATTATTTTCAGGGGGAACCCTAACCACCCTGAAAACTACTTTCAATATAGGACTTCCCCCCTTGACACCTATGGCCTCAGAAATTCACCTTTTTCAAGTTACCCACCACCTATGAAATATTTCATTATATAAATACAATGTAAACCAAAAAATGACTGCACAAATTTCTTAACACCTGATATCTTTGTGTGGTCAGTTGATCTTACCATTGTGTATACCTAGGATCATCCTGGTGTCTGGTCAGCAGTTCCTTGACCTCCAGAGGAGGCTCAAGGCCATGCTTCTGTGCTCTCTCCCATCTCTCAAGGCGACTGATACCTATCAAACGAAGACTCAAAAATCACAAACTTTTCTACTTAATATTTTTTTCTTAAAAAATAGTTATGTGTTTTTGAAGATATTTCTCCAACCATCTTCATTATCTTATATACATTCACACATGAAAAAATTACTATGACAAGATAAGCAATAGTTTCAGACGGGCTGCTCGTAAACAACACTTTATCAATCATTTAAGACCAGATTTTGATTTCCACCGCAGGTTGTTAAAAAGGTAAAAACAGCTTTCTGCTGAAATTTTAGTCATTTCAGTTTGTCAAACAAGGCAAGCCCCTTTGGGTGCCGATGAGTGGTGAAACAGTTCCATCATGTCATAAGCTCATAACTGAGATTTTGCATCACAGGTGCATGGACATCGATGGTGGAAGCTGGTGCTGGAGCAAAGGTAATTATACAAGTATCCAGAAAGAAAATACAACTCAAGATTATGAGATCAATGATTGGCGATGACTAAAAGGTAAGCAACCAGTGTGTCTAATACAACTAATGTAATACATTGTAGTCTTACCTATACACTGCCATCAACTTTTGTATCATTTTCACTTATACATATTTACCAATGCAGGGTCCAAATTCAAGATTCATGTCAAATTCACGGAGGAAATCTTTTTCACTTTTCCCATGGAGATTGATAGGCACATTGGCATCTGCTTTACTTGATGAAGGGATTGGACCTGAATAAAACAATAGTACATGCACAAAAATTAAAAACTGGTTTCAATTCCTGGATCACATTTTTGAATTATTACATTAGTGACTTTCCAATCATGAATGTTTATATTTTATATTTCATTTTATCGCCAAAAATGCTTGTACCTTTGAGCTATAGTTCTACCTCTTCCAAATCAGTTCCTTTTTTACTTACTGTCTGTGTTAAAAAGTTGTAAATAATTTTTAATTTCTTTAACTGTACAGTAATAAGTATATTTGAAAATCGATTTCTTCAAAATGGGTCAACAGATGTTAATTTAAGTAGAGCCCAAAATATCCCATACATATCCAATATTTATTAACTAATAAAGGAGGTACCGAAACAATAATCAAAATTGTTGAAGTACCGAAACTACCGGGTACCGAAACGACTGTACCACGATATGACATCCATATTTTTACATGTAGAGGTTATATTACCGAGATGTTTCAACATTAGGATAGAATGATTCGATACTTCCAAAAGTCATTCTGGTACCTTGAGATGATATTTAAGAACTTTCACAATAAGTAAAACTTGTTAATAGGAAAATAAACATGAACAATCGAACAAAAATTATGTACATTTTTACTTCTTCAATTCATCCTTATATTTATCAGCTTATAGAAATGCCTGTTCCTGCATGATCGGTATTCGCATGATCAGATGATAGATAATTTAGGTAAATAAACGTACCATGCTCAGATCGCTGAAACACTTGATTTGCCAATGGCCGCTTTACGTATTTGAAGGTATCTGAAATGTATTTGGAGCTTGACATTGCTGAATTTATACTAGATAACCACTTATCGACGATTTGCACAGACAAACAGTTTCTCTCAAGACGACGCCTCTGTGTTTTGCTGACAATGCAATCTTCCGGATTCTTCTTCGACGAAATGTTTATACGGAACAAATTCAGCTACAATTGGTATATTTCTCATAATGTTTGTTATATTGTGGATATTCTGTCTGCTAAAAATTAGAATCCATTTCAACTGCTATCTTTTCAATTTAATTTTAAAACGATGGTGAAATTTCAAAGAATTGTGCAATGTAAATTTACAAATTCCGAAAAGGAAAGTAAACTTCGGAACATATCAGTATACTACTCGGCAGTAGATAAATCCGAAGAAAATCGAACAGTAAAGTACACCTCAGCATCATGGCGGATATATCTGAAGCTTCCTCTGTACCGGCTCTTGCTGTAACTGCTGCTGTTGGAGCTGTAGTACTGTTACTGGTTCTTCTTTGCAGTGTTTGGAAAAAAGAGACAAAGGAACAGAAACAAGGTAACCTCACCATTTTGGCACTTAATGCGCCGATGCACAAAAATATTACATCGGGTTGATGGGATTAAAACAGCTGTAAAAAGCAGACGTGTTACGTGTGTGTCTTTTTCTTTACCTTCGGTACCTGCTATAGACTAGGCAAGTAATCTTAAACGCATATATAATACGTTATAGCAATTATGCAAACAGAATTTGAAGTCGTGGATTCAATTCACTCCTTCTTTGACTCATTTGCCCGTTTTTAACCATTAAATCTGGTTTGATTTTTTTCTACCTAGAGTTAGATAACCGAGGTAAGAAAAAAGTCCAACCTATCCTCAGTGGGAGCAAAGTATGCTTGTCATGTTGCTGTTCACTCCAGGCAATTCCACCTTAGCTGAACTGATGCTCATCAAATGTATTCAGTTATATTTCAGCTCAATAAATAATCTTCATGTTTTCACTTTTGTGAAAAATATCAAAATACCCCAACCGAAAGAAATACAAGATATCAGGAATTTCATTATGTTTGTTAGATAACAGAACAGAAACTTTCTTTCTATTTATGTGTTGCAAGAATTGAGAAGGTAGCTAAGGGCTTCTTCCGTTACTGAATTTTTAAATATTCTGATTTTGTTTTTTTTAATAATAACATTCTGAATTAAATTCATTTTGATGCCTTTGTACATGTATGTATTTCACTCCTCAGACTCAGATGAAAACCAAGTAACTAAAACGAAGGCAGATCCTGTTAAACAAGAAAAAAATTCTAAGAAATCCAAACTGAATGTTCGGACAAAGAAACCTCAGCAGTTGCAAGTTAATCATCCATGGCTTGCAAGTACACTAAAGGGGAACAGTAGTGCTGTGTTAGGCATAGACTTCAGCCCAAATGGCAAATATCTCATCACAACGGCTGAAGGTATGTCATTTGTATGTATACTAATTTATAAATACTGTTCATGTGACTGTTTTGCATACATTTGTTTGAAAAACTATCACAATGGACCTCCATCTTGACCATTAACTTGTGTGTGCATAACCTTTTAAGCAGTTCAGGAGAATTGGTAAAAATTGTACTAAATTTCTTATATAGAATTGGCTAAAATTGTACCTTTCAGTTCAATATGTCCCTATTTATAAAAAAAATCTTGTGAACACATACAGTTCAGCCTCATTAATGTTGCTCCTTTAGTTTTCACTTCCCCTGATGTGGCTTGATTGCTGGGATTTTTTTTAAATAGAAAAATGGAAGTGTGTCCCCACAAACTGGTTAGTAAGTGGAACAACAGGATATTTGTAGCTGGATTTAAGATTCAAATTTGTAGATCCCATAGCCATAGTAAAGTCCCACTGTCTTGATTTTTTTTTTATTATATATATTGATGACCATCACAATTGTGCCAATGCACTTACGTTGACCAGGTAGCTCAGTCTGTTTGAGCGTCCAGGGCTGAACTCTAGTCCTGTCTCACTAATATTTTACGTTCAGGTCACTGTTGTAAATTATGTTTGATTTCATCTTTGTTGATTTATTAGTACAAGTGGTCTCTGCAAGGTCTATTTATTGCTTCCTTTTTAGCTCGATGGTAGAGCATCAGATTGGTAATCCAGTGGTCCCAGGTTTGGTTCCTCTGTTACATATATTATGACAACTTAAAAAAGCGTACAAAAAGTACCAAAATGGACAACATTTTGGGGCTAAATATGATTCTGGTACTAATAGAAATTGCTAAAAACAGTGTTTGTTAGAAAACCATAATCATGTATTAATATTGTAGGTAGTGATTTGCTAATTTTCCTGGGTTTTATTTAACAGATCGCTGTGTTATGCTATGGGGTACAAAGGATTTCAACCAAAGGGAACACAAGTAGGTGTGATACATGTACAAGTATATAATTTGATGAAGGTTTGTTATTTCTTTGCACTAACATAAAATACTTTTGTGGGTCTTTGTTTTGTTACCAGATTATATTTTGGTGTAAATTTGATAGTCTATTTAAGAAATAGTCAACATGTGCATGACTGTATCACAATATGTGAGTGTATTATGGACAAAATTAATAATGAGGGTAAAGATATGTTGGGGGGAAAAACAACTGACAAAAACTGCTTTTACCTGAGTTTATTATTCATGGAAGGAACTAGTTCTTCTTTAATGTATCACAACTCACAACAGGTGAACAAGCAATATTGAGAGATAGTGTGAATGATGATCATAACAAAGATTTAAGAGTTAATTATAGTCAAAACTGGGAATTATTTCAATATCAAATTCATCATGATAGATTGAAAAGTAAAATACCAGGTTTATTCATATGAATGCCAAAAATAAAATTGTTTCAGCTTATGTAGATTCAAGTTTCTTATTTCAGATTCATTAAAGGTATTGTGGAACTGGACCATGGCACTCAAGTGAAGTTTAGCCCAGACACCAAGTATGTTCACCATCGTAGGAATTTTATACCTATTGAATATTTCTATCGTCCTTGACCATGAGAAAATTGATGGCATTTCTAGAGCATTGATTATAAGTCCCTCACTAGAACTACCAAAAGGTATCATAAGTTACAAGTACCCAGCTGTCCATCAGTCGGTCAGTCTGGTAAGCCAATCAGAAATGTTCACTAGGCAGTACTGTATCACTTTGTCTGAAGAACATCTCGTATACTCTGTTTCACATACAATTGCCAGTTTTTGTATGTGAAACCCTCTTAGGAAAAAACCCGGATGTTTGGATGTCATTTATAATAATCATGTCTTAAGCACATACTCCACTGTATGCATTCCGTCTTTGTGTATTGCAGAGTTATCTTCTCTTGTGAGCAGGTATTGATTGTTACGTCATTGGTTTGTCTGAGAAAATTACGTTGTTTTCTCAAAAATTGATGACGTTACTGTTACAAACAAACGACAAAGAATTTCCAAGTTTTGCTGCTGTACATGATATGTATGTCCTTATGAAGAGAAATGAACACTTAAAAACCAGGCCCTGGTTGCTCAAAGATTGGTCAACCTTAACCAGTGGCTGATGAAAAATCATTACATCCAAAAAGCACAGAACTCGTCAAACTGATCGGTCAAAAGAAATCTTTAGTTGTGAAATGATATCATAAATGAATTATGAGATAATGTTATGAAAAACAATTTGAAGGAAGTGACTCCAGCACAAATTCCAGATATTATATCTAACTGTAATATACTGGTAACTTCTGATTGTTTCTGAGTCTTTATTGTTAGCCAGCTGTAATATAACTTCTAGTTGTTATCCAGCTGTAATATAACTTCTAATTGTTAGCAAGCTGTAATATAACTTCTAATTGTTAGCCAGCTGTAATATAACTTCTAGTTGTTAGCCAGCTGTAATATAACTTCTAATTGTTAGCCAGCTGTAATATATAACTACTAATTGTTTCAGAGCCTTCATTGTTAGCCTCGCCAATGACAATGCCCTTCGAGTGTATAGGATAGGCAAGAAAGACGATGGATCCCCTGGGAATATCACTTCTGCATTCGACTTCCCCAAGGTAATCGGCTCGTATGAAGTCTAGATCTCGAAGATTTTACCTAAACAATTTTGGATGATTTTTACACTTTTCAAATGAACTGTTAACAAAAGTATTATAAATGATAAAATTCTGATCTGATATTTATTACATACTTTTATTTGGAATGTTTCAATGTAAAAGACACAATGTCCATGTTGAAGTTTTATTGCAGTGAAATACAATTAAATGGTTTTTTTAAAATTTAATTTTGGAATTAGTTTTAATCAGCAAAACAAGTCTTTTTCCGAACAATACTCACCAAAAATCACCATCAGAAATAGCAGATTCAAAAATTGGAGGAGAAGTCTATATATTTAAGTTTAAATGGTATTTCCAGACACATCAGTCCGACATTATAAGCATCGGTATCGCCACTAATGGGAGGTTCATCATGTCATGTGGTAGTGATACAACAATTCTCATCTGGACCATTAAAGGTGAGATACTTCTCAGATCAATGATATCGTCACTGATGAAAATATAGTCTGACATATAATCACAAATTTTATCAAATATGGCAGATACCAAGTGGAATTAGCTTTATTCCTGCGCAGTGAGTTTCCTACCTCCTTTCCACATGGGCATGTGCTTTGCAACTTTTGGATAATATCACATACAAAAAGCATGTTTTTGTGAAAATAAAGTAATTTTTGCGATGATTTCGGAAAAACACAACAGAAATGTTCCAGGTATAAATTTCCAAATTCACGCTGAAAAGCTTTCTGCTGCAGGACCAATTTTGGAATCTTTAGAGTTTTTTTTGAAAATTTTGGTTGTTGTGACAGTCCACAAGTAAGGTTTTCCATAAACATGTTCCACCATGGTTATTGGCAGAATATATAATGAAGAATATGTTGAAAACACATTCTAAAGGGTAGCTACTGCAGCCAAAGTTCACTATATACCCTCACATACCAACACTCAACAAACCATTTAGCAATCTACCCAGCAAGTTCACTCTATACCCTCACATACCAACACTCAACAAACCATTTAGCAATCTACCCAGCAAGTTCACTATATACCCTCACATACCAACACTCAACAAACCATTTAGCAATCTACCCAGCAAGTTCACTATATACCCTCACATACCAACACTCAACAAACCATTTAGCAATCTACCCAGCAAGTTCACTATATACCCTCACATACCAACACTCAACAAACCATTTAGCAATCTACCCAGCAAGTTCACTATATACCCTCACATACCAACACTCAACAAACCATTTAGCAATCTACCCAGCAAGTTCACTATATACCCTCACATACCAACACTCAACAAACCATTTAGCAATCTACCCAGCAAGTTCACTATATACCCTCACATACCAACACTCAACAAACCATTTAGCAATCTACCCAGCAAGTTCACTATATACCCTCACATACCAACACTCAACAAACCATTTAGCAATCTACCCAGCAAGTTCACTATATACCCTCACATACCAACACTCAACAAACCATTTAGCAATCTACCCAGCAAGTTCACTATATACCCTCACATACCAACACTCAACAAACCATTTAGCAATCTACCCAGCAAGTTCACTATATACCCTCACATACCAACACTCAACAAACCATTTAGCAATCTACCCAGCAAGTTCACTATATACCCTCACATACCAACACTCAACAAACCATTTAGCAATCTACCCAGCAAGTTCACTATATACCCTCACATACCAACACTCAACAAACCATTTAGCAATCTACCCAGCAAGTTCACTATATACCCTCACATACCAACACTCAACAAACCATTTAGCAATCTACCCAGCAAGTTCACTATATACCCTCACATACCAACACTCAACAAACCATTTAGCAATCTACCCAGCAAGTTCACTATATACCCTCACATACCAACACTCAACAAACCATTTAGCAATCTACCCAGCAAGTTCACTATATACCCTCACATACCAACACTCAACAAACCATTTAGCAATCTACCCAGCAAGTTCACTATATACCCTCACATACCAACACTCAACAAACCATTTAGCAATCTACCCAGCAAGTTCACTATATACCCTCACATACCAACACTCAACAAACCATTTAGCAATCTACCCAGCAAGTTCACTATATACCCTCACATACCAACACTCAACAAACCATTTAGCAATCTACCCAGCAAGTTCACTATATACCCTCACATACCAACACTCAACAAACCATTTAGCAATCTACCCAGCAAGTTCACTATATACCCTCACATACCAACACTCAACAAACCATTTAGCAATCTACCCAGCAAGTTCACTATATACCCTCACATACCAACACTCAACAAACCATTTAGCAATCTACCCAGCAAGTTCACTATATACCCTCACATACCAACACTCAACAAACCATTTAGCAATCTACCCAGCAAGTTCACTATATACCCTCACATACCAACACTCAACAAACCATTTAGCAATCTACCCAGCAAGTTCACTATATACCCTCACATACCAACACTCAACAAACCATTTAGCAATCTACCCAGCAAGTTCACTATATACCCTCACATACCAACACTCAACAAACCATTTAGCAATCTACCCAGCAAGTTCACTATATACCCTCACATACCAACACTCAACAAACCATTTAGCAATCTACCCAGCAAGTTCACTATATACCCTCACATACCAACACTCAACAAACCATTTAGCAATCTACCCAGCAAGTTCACTATATACCCTCACATACCAACACTCAACAAACCATTTAGCAATCTACTCAGCAAGTTCACTTTATACCCTCACATACCAACACTCAATAAACCATTTAGCAATCTACCCAGCTAGTTCACTATATACCCTCACATACCAACACTCAACAAACCATTTAGCAATCTACCCAGTAAGTTCACTGCTTACCCTCACATACCAACACTCAACAAACCATTTAGCAATCTACTCAGCAAGTTCACTGTTTACACTCACAAACACTGTACCAACACTCAACAAAGTCTTGTCTAAGTCACATACAGCTAATTTGTTTACATTTGCAATAGTCTAATGAGGCAAATAGAACGTGGATGTATAGTATCTAGTTATGCATGATAAATAACCATAAAAAAGAGTTACCTGTAATATACCTTTCTGTTTACCTGTACAGGTGAAGTACTAGACACCATAGACACACACCAGATGAACAACTCTTTCGCCTGTGTCTCTCCATGTGGTAGATTTGTTGCATCTTCAGGTGAGAAAAAAACACTTCTATAAACTACTTTCAAATGACCTGTTGGGAGACATAATGTCAGTGTTATGACCTTGATTTTTGGGTCTGAATTGCAGGATGATTCGTGGTGACATGATAGGTTTGCGTAACAGTCGGACCCTGGATGTGATTTTACAGGGCAATGCTCTAATTATGACATCATCACCAGATTCAAGAAATTATAACATCTGTAAGGGCATCGTCCATTTTGACATCATAGTTTCTTCGATTGGAATCAGGAATCATGCATATGTTTCTAAGTGAAGCATAAAGATTTCCTGACATAGTATGAACATCATGGGAGAAAAGGTTCTATAATAATTGTTTTTCATGTGTATCTACATCTTCGCTAGCCAAGTGTTCGCTTCGTATGGAGTGTATACGAAGCGAACACTTCGCTAGCGAAGATGGTGTATCTATCTCACGTTAGTTTATTTTCAAATTTTGAAAAAGGCACTTCAGATCATATACAATTTGAAAATTAACATTATTAGCTTACCTGGCCCGAAGGGCCAAGTGAGCTTATGGCATGGTGCGGCGTCCGTCGTCCGTCCGGCGTCAACATTTTACTTTAAACAACTTCTTCTCAGTAACCAAAAGGCCTAGGGTGATGATATTTGGCCAGAAGCATGCTGGGATGAAGGGCTACCAAGTTTGTTCAAATAAATGACCTTCATCCATTTTCAAGGTCACAGGGGTCAAATATGTTAAATTCTTTAAACAACTTCTTCTGAAAACCAAGAGGCATAGGGTGATGATATTTTGCCAGAAGCATGCTGGGATGAATGGCTACCAAGTTTGTTAAAAAAAATGATCTCATTCATTTTCAAGGTCACAGGTGTCAAATATGTTAAATTCTTTAAACAGCTTCTTCTGAATAACCAAGAGGCATAGGATGATGATATTTGGCCAGTAACATGCTGGGATGAATGACCTTGATTTATATTCAAGGTCACATGGGTCAAATATGTTTAAAACCTTTCAACAACTTCTTCTGAATAAACCAAGAGGCCTAGGGTGATGATATTTGGACTGTAACATGCTGGGATAAAGGGCTACCAAGTTTGTTCAAAAACATGACCTTGACTTATATTCTAGGTCACAAGGGTCAAATATGTTTAAAACCTTTAAACAACTTCTTCTGAATAACCAAGAGGCCAAGGGTGCCTAAATTTTGCCAGTAACATGCTGGGATAAAGGGCCACCAAGTTTGTTCAAATAAATGACCTTGGTTTATATTCAAGGTCACAGGGGTCAAATATGTTTAAAACCTTTAAACAACTTCTTCTGAATAACCGAGAGGCCTAGGGTGATGAGATTTGTCCAGTAACATGCCTGGTTGAAGAGCTACCAAGTGTGTTCAAATAAATGACCTTCATCCATTTTCAAGGTCACAGGGGTCAAATATGTTCAAAACATTTAAACAACTTCTTCTGAATAACCAAGAGGCCTAAGGTGATAATATTTGGCCAGTAGCGTGCTCGGATGAAGGGCTACCAAGTTTGTTCAAATGAATGACCTTGACCCACTTTCAACCTAATGTCATTGCTTGACATTCAAGGGCACACTGATATTCTGCCTGTAGCTGTATTTAAGTCCACTTTTAAGATTACAAGTGTGCGATTAATACCAGGTGAGTGATGCAGGTTCATTGGGCCTCTTGTTTAGATGAACACTTTTATCAACCACCACTCCTTTGGGAACCTCTGTACAAAAGAATGGCAGCATTTAAAATTGATGTGTTTTTTGACGACAGGTTTTACACCGGATGTAAAGGTTTGGGAAGTATGCTTCGACAAAAACGGAAGCTACGTAGATACCAAGAGAGCGTTTGAACTGAAGGGACATAGTGCTGGAGTGTATAGTTTTTCATTTAACAATGATTCCAGTCGGTAAGTGGCAAAGGACAAGATGTTTTTATTTTTAAAGCTTCAAATTAATTATTAACATTTTCATTTACAAGAAGTTGATATTTTCTAGCAAAGGACAGGATAATGGAAAATATAATTGTATTTGGCTATATAATAATCCAGTATGGCAGGTATAAAAATTGTTAAATTGATCATTTCTATGAACAAGCTTTAATGATATTATTTTTATTTTCACTAATGAATCATAAAAGTGATAATTTTCAGCTCTATTGTGTCTGGTAGGAAATACATGTATTATAAGAAATTAGCATCTTAGTTGAATTTACCTTTTTTTCATTGCTTTTCATATTCTGTCCATTTGTAAATCTATTAACAGAATGGCATCAGTATCTAAGGATGGGACATGGAAATACTGGGATACTAATGGTGAGATTTCTGTGAATATGATGACAGGTTCAAAATAATTTCACTTTTTTGCAGCTTTTATATTTTACCAGTTTGTATACAACTTCTAAAGACATGAAAGCAAAAACTTTTTGTATATGATACATATTTCATACAGACAAACTTGAGAATTTGTCATTATAAATTTCTACTTTTCTCAATTAAAATTATTGATATTGCTGTGATGACTATTACTGCATTGAAGTTGAACCATCTTTGAAATATTATAACACAGATGCTGTTCACAGAATTTCTGTAACTTTCTAAGGATTATTGCTGCAACTACCTTCTTTGAACTTTTTTAATTGTTTTTAATAACGTTATATAATGTTGTAAATAATTCCATTCTTGTGTATTTCTTGCATATTTCTTGTCATTAATTCAAGTCCAAATCTTCCAATAAGAACTTTTGTAAAGGAGTAAAAAAAATTGTAACATAATTCATGGTAGAGCAGCATACTGCCTGAAGTTCATATTTATAAAAATATTGATGTTTTTGTATTGCAGTACGATACGAAATGAACCAGGATCCGTACCTGTTACATACAGGAAATATTAGTTACTCTGGCTATTGTCTAATAGCTTTGTCACCTGATGGTAGAACTGTCGCAGTAGGAGGAGAGAACTCGATTACATTTTTCAATGCCATCTCAAGCAAAGAAGAAGAAACTGTAGATAATATTCATATAGGTAATATTTTGAGTATCTTATTAATTAAATCCCTCATTACAAAGTAGTCAGGTATATTGTGTCTTGCTGTCTGTCTTTTAATTAATTTTTGATGCCTTGGAAGACTTATTTATGACCGTATCTTCACTAAATATGATGCAATATTGAGTTATAAATGTACTAGGTTGATATATCCAACAATTTCCTGTAAAGGTATTTACTTTAGGTCAAAGTCTAAAACACTCATTTATGATCATAACTTCACCAAACCTGGTTAGAATGTGCAGTAGTTTGATATATCCAACATGTTTTTTGTTTCAAAGCACCAGTCCTAAGTCATAGTCTTTGTTACTTGCCATCACTCTAGCTACTAGGCGTATTTATGATTGTTATCAAGTAATTCAATGTCTAAACCAAGTTCATGTTTAATTTTGCTAACACATGGTAAATATCACCATCATTGTATAATGTATGTGTAGTAATAATTAATTGACTCTATTATAAACTTGGTAATGCATTACTTATAAATGGATGAAGATAGATCTGTATTCATGGATTACTTTTTCACCAATGGTGCCATTTTTTGATGTACAAACTTTGTGGTACATTTTCCCTATACCAATTATATTGAGGACCATTGTGATTCAGAAACAAATTTGGGGTACTGAACACAGTTTATATTTTCTGCCAAAAAATGTAACTTCGCTTTGGACAGTCTTTTTCCCAGCATGACTGTAGCTTTGATAAACTATTTCTGAGAAGAAAACCGTACCATCCAAGACTTTTATAAACAAAAAATGAAGAAAGGTAAAATAAATAAAATATAATCAACAACAGTGTGCTTGAGTGTGACAATTCAGTGGGAGTCTGGGATTCAAGCCCTGGACCTTCGGACTGTTATACTGTCGCTCCAAGTGAGTGGGAGTCTGAGATTCAAGCCCTGGACCTTCGGACTGTTATACTGTCGCTCCAAGTGAGTAGGAGTCTGGGATTCAAGCCCTGGAATTTCGGACTGTTATACTGTTACTCCAAGTTATTCGGTCGATGGAAGTATCTCCAAAACGAAATTAAGGGTAGATTACTGTAGATACGAAAAAGCAGAGTGCATTGGGACAAGGATCCTTAAATTAATGCTTTAAAAGGACAACCTGAATTTTCCTTTTGCAACACATGTGAATATGGTATATGGCATGTGCTGTTAAATTAAGGATAACTTTTAAACTATAATTTGTGTATTTGTTGTTGCAGGTGGTTTGGTAGATTTGAGCTTTGACACGACCAACAAATACCTAGTGACTGCTGGCGATCGCTATGTACACGTGTTCCATAATGTAACAGGATATCGGGCAACTATAGAAGATCTCCTAGAAAAAGAGAAAAAGGCACCTTCAACAGCTGTGAGGGAGCGTGTTCGCCAACAGATCTTGGACGCTAAGTATGTTTCTTATCATTTGTGTCCAAATGTTATCCATCCCATGATACATTTGATCTGCTTTCAAATAAATAGCAGACACCAGACAACCTCTCCTGTGATGTTTAGAACGTTTGAAATCTTAAATGCTGGAAGGCACGGAGTTGATACCCAGCATCAGCAACATCCTCTTTATATAATTGTATTGTATCTGAGCAGTCCTTGGTGGCATTGTTGTCTGTCTTCATGAAATTCAATAATAAATGTATGCACATAAATTAAAATGAAGATCATTGTGAGAAATATCGGAAAAAAAGATGCCTTACAGTTTATAAGTAACTTACAAACAACAGTTTATAAGTAACTTTTATAAGTAAAACAGTTTATAAGTAACTTACAAACAGAATTATACTGCACCAGTGGTGAAATGATGGAGGGGGGGGGGGGGGTTAGTGTTATCCATGGTCCATCTTTTGTCCTATATTATAATCATTTTTCAACCACATTCACTTTTTATTATACTCCACTTCAAGTGTGTACTCCAAGTTCCAGAGCATATCTTGGTCACTGTTTCATATATGAACATCACACTTTGTGTATTGCTAAACTTGAGGAGGTACTGTATTATGTACAAAGTTGGAGCACTGCGACCTCCATCTGTTCCCTGATGTAGACCTCAAGTACTGAAATACAGGTTTCTAGGGAAAATTCACCCAAAGATTCGTGTAGGGAAGTCAGACTTGGTATGCAGGATATGAATTAGAGTCTACACAACCTGTTTGTATACCCCCTTGAATGAAGTTAGAGGGGGGTATTACCGTATACTGGAATCACCCTGTCTGTCTGGATGTCTGTCTGTCATCCACAGTAACTTGTCCAGACAACTCTGTGGATGACAGACAGATTTTATTGAAACCTCGGCCCTTTATGCGAAACAACTTGTCCGGAAAACTCCATATTAACTAACAGGCAGATTTTATTGAAACTTCATTTGAATGATCAGGATCGTGGACCTAAAGATGAAAGTCACTAGTGTCGTGTTTTAAATTTCAGTCTAAAAGAAACACACATTTAGTATCTCCATTCTTATCCTTATCCTTATCCATGTAGTGTCTTATTTTTCACATGTTATAATGTTCCTGATTTTTATTCACAGGTCATCGTTAGCTAGCATACTCGGGCAGTCCAACGGGCACGCCAGCAGCAAATAGTGGTCAGAAAATACGTCTCTCAGTTATTGACTACATTGGCAGCATTCCTAAGGACATTATTTTTATAAATTGATAATTTACTTTATATGAATGGAGCTGATTTCTCTGGGATACAACAACTGACCTTGAGTTTCTTAAACTTTCTCGCTGTATTCTTTTCACATGTAGAAAGATGTTTTTAACTACATGAACATCTGAAAACTTGTAAAGCAAAATAAAATGACTATGTTACAACTGGACGATGTATACAATTGTTTTCCTCCTGTTTTGAAATTCTTGGGAAAGACTACAATTTGAATATGGAAATATGGAAAAAAAATGCTCAAGTATGTTTTAAATTTAAATAAAAGAAAGAAAAAAAACGTGAAAATACGGTTTAAAAATATCATGTCAAAGTATTCTTATATTGGATGTTTTGCAACACCAAACATATGACTAGATCAGTGTTTGTAAACTAAGGTGTAATGTACAGGTCAGATGAAAGTGATGAGTACATGTCATACTAAAGTCAGTAAAAGGTCACGTAAAAATTTCATTGATTGTGCTTTAAGCATAGGAACCCGTATCTTGCAATGGTTATCAAGCCCGCACTGATTTCAATTTACAAGTGGGTAAGCTTTAAACCTAGTTTGTCTGTTGATTGTCAAGTGATCCACTTGTTCACGTATGATGTTGTGGGACTACATTGTACGACTATATTAACAATGCAGTAATATATATGTAAAACAATTAGAGTTCCGTGTCATACTATTTTAGTACTTGAGAGAAGATGGAGAAAAATAATGAATTGTGTACAATATGATTTACTGGTAAATAGTATTTAAAAAAACAACAACATGGATATTAAAGTATTTGATGCCATTTCCTACAGCACTGTCATTTCGATTTCTCATTTATATTATTAAAACTATTCAAATGTCATGCAGGTAGATTTTTCCAGAGACCTTGTCACCAGTCTATATTAAATTAAGTAATTTACTACCCTCCCATTCTTCCAGACATGCAGATCATACTATAGCTGCAGTAATACTGTATACCTGAACAACTTTGATCAGTAAAATTTTCACCTTTCCACTGTAAAATTCATTTTTGACCGATATTAAATTTGCCCTTCGCATTTGATTACTGTGTATATTATGTTGTTTACAAATGTTCGCTGTAATGATAAATTCACCCTCATTACAGAGGGCAAAAAAGCTGAAAATAAAACTACAGGGAAATTTTCCCATTGTACAGAATAATTATTCTTGTCGCTCATCAATGTTAATACAGAATTTAGAATGGTGATGTTTGGTTGGTTTTATAGGGTTTAAAGTCCTCAACAACTAAGGTCGTTTAAGGATGTAGACTGGTTACGAACCTAAGTAATGTCTTTGTTTTTGTAAAAGGTTCTGATTCGCTCAATGGAGAAATAGACCTAGTGTGAATCATAGTCTTCGTGTGTTCTTTTCTTCGTGATTTTGACATGGGCAGACTTTGGAAAATATCAACTTAGTCATTATTACCAAAGATATGGGTAACTTATGTACGTCCAAAAGGATATTAACATGACTTGTTGATCGGGTAAAACTGATTTTGTAAGAGATACAAATTGTTTTTAATCATATCATGAGGATTTATTTTTATTTTTGGATTACTTTTTTTAAGTTTTCTTGCAATGAATAAATTATATTTGTTTTATAACTAAGTCATTCAACTGTCTTCTGTCATTTTGCTTCTAGTTAAACAACTCCATGATTGCTTAATGATATAAGGGAAACTTCTACATATTGTGCAATTACAATTCCAGGTAAATATGATTATTAAATCATTTATCTTGTGTACTTAAGTGGTTTGTGTGTTATTTTAAGGTTACTAGATACAAATGGGCCGCTGTTGCATAAGGATATCAGTTCTCCAAATGTTGACTAATTATATAGCAGCTGATGTAAAAGATGCAGTTTGCCACAAAATATATCTACATAGAAATCAATATTAGCAATGTTAATTTCTACCATCACAGATAGAAAACTTTTGAATAGTAATATTCAAGCAATATGTCATTCATACTTAGGAATGCAGAGAAAAAATCTAGCAGTATTGACTACGGCTACCCCAGAATGTTTCAAGGGGTTTGATTGCTTTGCTGACGTAAAGTTGCACACATTTACGTAGAGAACACATCCAGCTTTGGTACATGATGTATTGATGCTGCTAATGGAGTTTGCCTATCTCAGTAGATTCGCTACTCCCGTATGAGGAGTTTACATGTACATCGCACATGATTTGCTATTCCAAGACCTGTTTTAAATTAAGTTTAAGGAGTTGACTATTTCAACAGTCTAGAGCCTGTTTTATGTATCAGAAATTTGAATGTCTGTTTGAAGGTACAAGTTTTAGGAGTAAGCAATTTTTTATTAAGTATTAGGAGTTTACATGTCACAGTTGGTTAGCTGATACAGAGCCTGTTTAAAAGTAGCATAAGTGTACATGTCACAGATGGTTAGCTGATACAGAGCATGTTTAAAAGTAGCATAAGTTTACATCTCACAGTTGGTTAGCTGACGCAGAGACTGTTTAAAAGTTGCATAAGTGTACATGTCACAGATGGTTAGCTGATACAGAGCATGTTTAAAAGTAGCATAAGTCTACATGTCACAGTTGGTTAGCTGACGCAGAGCCTGTTTAAAAGTAGCATAAGTGTACATGTCACAGTTGGTTAACTGATACAGAGCATGTTTTAAGTGTAAGGAGTTAACATGTCAAAGTTGGTTAGCTGATAGAGATCTCGTTTCAAGTATCAGGAGTTTGAGCTTGCTTCAAGTGTCAGGAGTTTACATGTCACAGTTGGTTCACTACTCCAAAGACTGTTTTAAGTTTCAAGATTTTCTGGATACATGTGTACTGTTCACAAACATAACAAACTACTTTGCCAGGGAGGCATTAATCGGTATTGACGAAAGTTTTTGCTGATCATTAGCACTAAGATACCTACGTGTGTGATTTCAGTGTATTATCAAAGATGTCTGAATGTGTCGTTGGTAACCATGTTTTTCCTGGATCTGAGGTGGGAAATAATGATGAGCTCCATAATATGATTATAAAAGATGTCTGCTATGTGTCGTTTGTAATTTTCATGGATCTGATGTGGTAAATAATTATGGGTGCTATAAATATGCTGTAGGTAGTTCTGGAGCACGTTCACCTCCTCATTTTTGTTGGTTCATATTGTTTTTTGTTTGTTTTAATAATCCTGCATTCATTGTCTATNCCCTGAGAATTTTCTTTAAAAGTCATGTATTTTCACCATTTTCCTCAATTTTTCCCCACATGGAACCCCCCAGGGAATTCGGACCCCCCCCAGACAGGTCTCTGGATCCGCCACTGGATTTAGGCAATGTGTATTGTCGATGTTTATAATGTTTTTCTGTGTACTATTTCGGGGTCTATACACTTCGTTCTAAATTGAAATCGCTGTACTGCTTAATTTGACAAGCTCTTGCATTATGACTTGCATATAGGACTCTCGTTTGAAGGCCGTGGTTGTAACTTTCACCAGTTATCTAGTGAGTTGTGATAAAAGGTATATTCAAGCATTGTGAACACCTCATTTTATAAGTTTTCTATTCACCTGGCATTCTTTAATGTTATGCTTTTTCATAGGTCTACCTGATGTCATGGTGATGCTTTTTAATATCAACAAATACCTTGTTAGTTTGTATTTTTATAAATCTTTTAAGAAAAACAAACTGTCAAAAGATTTATTAACAATAGTTTATTTCATGGAGATATTCTTTCATGATAAAATAATATTTTTGTAATTCTCTCCTAACATCATTTCTTAATTGAGAACCTAACGTATTTACATAAACAAATTTAAGGCATTGGAACTTGAAATCTGACCATATAATATCAAAATAATGAGTTCTCCCGTCGGTTCAGCAAACATTTCAAAATTACAAATTGGTATGGCTTAATCGTGCATGTAGATTACCACAAGTTAACAGAAAAATGAATCTAATTAGTGGGAAGCTGATGAAATTGTTATTTTTTTCAACTTTAGAATAAAGGCAAACAAAATAACAAGAAAGTTCATGACCCTTTCGATACAATTAAATGGAAGTAAATTGATAAGAACCTGAGTGAGATGTTCCGTCTTTGCGTATTGCAGAGTTATCTTCTCTTGGGAGCAGGTATTGATTGTTACGTCATTGGTCTGTGTGAGAAAATTACGTCGTTTTATCAAAAATTTATGACGTTACCCTCACAAACAAGCGACGTAACAATCAATACCTGCTCCAAAGAGAAGATAACTCTGCAATACGCAAAGACGGAATAAGCATTATTAAATTCATTACAAAATATTTCATGGAGATATTCATTCTTGATAGAATAATGTTTTTATAATTATCTCCTTACATCGTTTCTGAATTAAGAGCCTAACAAATTTACGTTAACAATTGTTATGGCACTTGAACTTAAAATCTTAAAACCCAAGGATTCGAGCAAAAAAAAAAAAATCAATCAGTTTAGCAAACATTTCAATACTATAAATTGGTATGGCTTAATCATGTATGTAGATCAAAACAGATTAACAGAAAAGTAATCCAGCAAGTACAAAAAGTGCAAATGAAATTGACCTTTTGACTGGAATATCCTCAAATTAATTTTAAACTTCAAGATAAAGGGGAATAAAATACAAGAATGTTAATGACGATATAATCAAATGGAAGTAAATCAATAACAACCTGAGTGTGATGTTAACAACATTAAAACCACAACCCATTGTTAAGTATCCAAATAGAACAAAATGTCACGTTCATAAATATCAATAAATATACGAATCATCAATATGATAGAAACGCATGTTAAAAATATCACGTTTTGTCTTGGCAGAAGGTGCAACATTAATAATCAAAATGTTTAACTACATCACTTACTGATACAATTATAATGTTTAATTACATCAGTTACTGATATAATTAAAAGGTTGAACTACATCACTTACTGATATAATTTAAAAGGTTTAACTACATCACTTACTGATATAATTAAAAGATTTTACATCACTTACTTATATAATTTAACGGTTTACCTACATTACTTGCTGATATAATTAAAAGATTTTACATCACTTACTGATATAATTAAAAGGTTAATTACATCACTTACTGATATAATTAAATGGTTAAACTACATCACTTACTGATATAATTAAACGGTTTAACTACATCACTTACTGATATAATTAAAAGGTTAATTACATCACTTACTGATATAATTAAATGGTTAAACTACATCACTTACTGATATAATTAAAAGGTTAATTACATCACTTGCTGATATAATTAAAAGGTTTACCTACATCACTTACTGACATAATTAAACAGTTTAACTACATCACTTGCTGATATAATTAAACGGTTTACCTACATCACTTGCTGATATAATTAAAAGGTTTTAACTACATCACTTGCTGATATAATTAAAAGGTTTAACTACATCACTTGCTGATATTATTAAAAGGTTTAACTACATCACTTACTGATATAATTAAACAGTTTAACTACATCACTTACTGATATAATTAAAAGGTTTAATTACATCACTTACTGATAAAGTTAAAAGGTTTAATTACATCACTTACTGATATAATTAAAAGGTTTAACTACATCATTTGCTGATATAATTAAAAGGTTTAATTACATCACTTGCTGATATAATTAAAAGGTTTAACTACATCACTTACTGATATAATTAAACGGTTTAATTACATCACTTGCTGATATAATTAAAAGGTTAAACTACATCACTTACTGATATAATTAAACGGTTAAACTACATCACTTACTGATATAATTAAACAGTTTACCTACATTACTTACTGATATAATTAAACGGTTTACCTACATCACTTGCTGATATAATTAAAAGGTTTTAACTACATCACTTGCTGATATAATTAAAAGGTTTAACTACATCACTTGCTGATATTATTAAAAGGTTTAACTACATCACTTACTGATATAATTAAACAGTTTAACTACATCACTTACTGATATAATTAAAAGGTTTAATTACATCACTTACTGATAAAGTTAAAAGGTTTAATTACATCACTTACTGATATAATTAAAAGGTTTAACTACATCATTTGCTGATATAATTAAAAGGTTTAATTACATCACTTGCTGATATAATTAAAAGGTTTAACTACATCACTTACTGATATAATTAAACGGTTTAATTACATCACTTGCTGATATAATTAAAAGGTTAAACTACATCACTTACTGATATAATTAAACGGTTAAACTACATCACTTACTGATATAATTAAACAGTTTACCTACATTACTTACTGATATAATTAAACGGTTTACCTACATCACTTGCTGATATAATTAAAAGGTTTTAACTACATCACTTGCTGATATAATTAAAAGGTTTAACTACATCACTTGCTGATATTATTAAAAGGTTTAACTACATCACTTACTGATATAATTAAACAGTTTAACTACATCACTTACTGATATAATTAAAAGGTTTAATTACATCACTTACTGATAAAGTTAAAAGGTTTAATTACATCACTTACTGATATAATTAAAAGGTTTAACTACATCATTTGCTGATATAATTAAAAGGTTTAATTACATCACTTGCTGATATAATTAAAAGGTTTAACTACATCACTTACTGATATAATTAAACGGTTTAATTACATCACTTGCTGATATAATTAAAAGGTTAAACTACATCACTTACTGATATAATTAAACGGTTAAACTACATCACTTACTGATATAATTAAACAGTTTACCTACATTACTTACTGATATAATTAAACGGTTTACCTACATCACTTGCTGATATAATTAAAAGGTTTTAACTACATCACTTGCTGATATAATTAAAAGGTTTAACTACATCACTTGCTGATATTATTAAAAGGTTTAACTACATCACTTACTGATATAATTAAACAGTTTAACTACATCACTTACTGATATAATTAAAAGGTTTAATTACATCACTTACTGATAAAGTTAAAAGGTTTAATTACATCACTTACTGATATAATTAAAAGGTTTAACTACATCATTTGCTGATATAATTAAAAGGTTTAATTACATCACTTGCTGATATAATTAAAAGGTTTAACTACATCACTTACTGATATAATTAAACGGTTTAATTACATCACTTGCTGATATAATTAAAAGGTTAAACTACATCACTTACTGATATAATTAAACGGTTAAACTACATCACTTACTGATATAATTAAACAGTTTACCTACATTACTTACTGATATAATTAAACGGTTTACCTACATCACTTGCTGATATAATTAAAAGGTTTTAACTACATCACTTGCTGATATAATTAAAAGGTTTAACTACATCACTTGCTGATATTATTAAAAGGTTTAACTACATCACTTACTGATATAATTAAACAGTTTAACTACATCACTTACTGATATAATTAAAAGGTTTAATTACATCACTTACTGATAAAGTTAAAAGGTTTAATTACATCACTTACTGATATAATTAAAAGGTTTAACTACATCATTTGCTGATATAATTAAAAGGTTTAATTACATCACTTGCTGATATAATTAAAAGGTTTAACTACATCACTTACTGATATAATTAAACGGTTTAATTACATCACTTGCTGATATAATTAAAAGGTTAAACTACATCACTTACTGATATAATTAAACGGTTAAACTACATCACTTACTGATATAATTAAACAGTTTACCTACATTACTTACTGATATAATTAAACGGTTTACCTACATCACTTGCTGATATAATTAAAAGGTTTTAACTACATCACTTGCTGGTAACATGAAAAGGTTTTAACTACATCACTTGCTGAAATAATTAAAAGGTTAAACTACATCACTTGCTGATAACATTAAAAGGTTTTAATTACATCACTTGCTGATATAATTAAAAGGTTTAACTACATCACTTGCTGATATTATTAAAAGGTTAAACTACATCACTTGCTGATATAATATGATATATACTAACCTTGCACACTTTATATCTAACAAACAAATGTATCCAAATCTGTATTGCAAAGTTGTATGGTAAAAACCTTTTGACGACTACCCCCTGAGCATGATAATAGGGTATATGTTCAATAATGCATTATACTGAAACGAGACTCGACTTTGAAAGCAAAGATATACACTATAAGTAATATCACTACTACCAAAGGAATATCCCTTGTCGCACAGCAAAACAAAACTATTACAGTTCATTAAAACGTATGTTAATGCCAATTTGAAAAAAATATACATATATATATATATATGGGGCAAAGAAGTACCATACCAATCTAAAAGACATTGTTAACCTCTGAAACAAATATAATTCTACGACACACATAGTATTCAATAACTCGGATGTCACTCTTTTGTTATGCAGCATAACAATATATATATATTATATAATCATATTGGGCAAAGAAGAAATTCCAACAGTGTGGACAAGTTAAGGTTGTCAAATTTTCGGAGCGTTCCGCTTCTTTATCAAGACACAGTGAAACAGAACAGTTACATGTACATATACATCATATTACAAGAATCATATATATATATAATATCAATACGTGTCAGTAACAAATACCACTATGATAATATAATTCAAGGGATGTAAGTAACTAACGCTATAACATAGTTGATGCGTATTTTGCGTACCTGAATAGAGCTGATTCTTTTATATATAATGGAATGTTCAGACGATTAATGCATATCTAAATATCTTGAGCATATGGACAACTTTTTGAAATTTAAGTTATCACAATGAAAACTAGACAAAATATTTAAAAAATAATTAAATAGAAAAGATATTCCTTACGTGACGCCACTTATTTTGAGCCAATGCAAAGTTCAAATTACAGAAATTTCTGATAAGTGTTACTTCCCGAACGAATCCCTTTAAAACGAATAAGGCCTATCGAAATGAAGTCGCAAGCGATTTTAACTTCCCTTATACCAGAGATGTACATTGGTAACGAAGTTATCTACGGCTTTGCGAGTTCACTAACTAAAACAATAAGAAAGTAACAGTTTGTAGGCTAGGGCTTAATTTTCTGTTTGCCGGGGTAAACTAACACTCACGTTTAAGCTAACTTGATTGTGTTACACTCCTGTTGCTCTGCAACTGTATCTAGTATTTGTTAAGATACTATATATATCTGCAATTCTGCAGAAATAAGAGATATGATACAATCACAGGGAATTCTATTCTTCAGTCGTCGCAGACAGCACTAGGCCATTACGCGGACGGATAAACTGTACAAATGCCTACACATTTGATTTCGTGCAGTAATATTACAACTAATTTATGTAGAAAAACACAAAACCGCACTGTTATGTCTTCTAACTTTACTAGAAATTGACTATTTTCAAAACCTATACAAAAATACAGGTATCACAGGTATCACTGGTATCACAGGTATCACTGGTATCACAGGTATCACTGGTATCACAAAGCCATTGGTAGCTGTTTTTTTAAACTTTCAGTGGAATTGTACGGCGGGAAGCATTTTTATCTAAAATACTCATACAATGTTAAACTGTCTAAACTGACAATGTTTACTCTGAAAACCTGTATTGGCCACATTTTTCAACTTTATGCCACTCATGGTGTAAACATTAGGGTTGTCAACGCTTAGCCGGTCACTTGGTTTCTCGGTCGGAATATCACGAACCGGTTACCGAAATAAAAAAAACCGAAGGGTTGGGATATTTATCTACCTTTATGAGGCCCCGTGTTTCCCTGGCTTAGACCTTGTCCTACACATTATCTATAGATGCGACCGAAATCGGATAGTTTTCCAATAAAAAACTTTTTAAGCTAACATGTTAGTGTTGTTTTTGTATTCCATTGTAATGATTGCCAACGAGATGGCACCAGCACCATAAAAACCTGAACAGATTTTAAAAGGAAGCCAGAAGACAAAGTTGTAAACTATCATCTTTCATGGGCAGAACTCGCTTTAACATGCGAAATGTTAATACAATCTAAAGGGTACACACACGAATGAGCAAGCACGTATCAAAACGTTTGTCGAGCAAATATGTTCTAAAGAAAAATATTACTGCATATGATTTAGAGTACAGATAATTGTAATTGAATCCAACCTAACTGTATTCCGACATTTGTTGTCCACGAATATATTAACTGAGGTTACATGTAACTTTTTCCTGTGTTTAGTTTGAAATACGCGATTAAACTACCTTGCTTATTAATATATACATTTATGCATGAAGTGTAAATACGTTTTGCGAAAATTTGCTTAACATATAACATATTGTCTTTGTTTATTGTTTGATTACCAAATTGACCGATTAATCGGTTACTCGATCGGAAGAATGTTCGAGTTACCGGCTACAAAACTTTGACCGGTTTGACAACCCTAGTTAAAATGAAGTAAAATAATTACAAACAAATAAAAATGATAGAGGCCGGAATCGGTACGATTTTTCCCGATCCTCGGTACAACAATAACTGCATATTATGGAAGAATATAATTCAACTAATTTCATAGAAAAAACTATCACAATCCTACAATGTATTTCGATTACACATTAATCACTTTACAGAATTGCTGGTGACGTTGGCAGCGTAAATACGATGCAAGTTAACGTCCATGTAAGCTTGAAAACATCGCAAATGTCCACATTTAGGAACGCTGACCAAAGCCCGCATTTAGGAGGACGATATTATTGTAACAATGATCAAATAATACACTTAGGATTGTCTTAATTACCTGTGTAGGACAATGGGAGAAATGCTTTAAGTCTAGCTAGCATTGTATGAGCTTTACCCTTTCAGGGTTTTCACGTTACAACCCTGAATTCTTTTGATTTTGTTATGTCTTCATAATGGAACGCAATTTGTAGATATCCAAGATGGTGCATACACCGAAAATATAATTAAAAATAGAACCGTTGCAAATATAATTGCTATATAATAACAGAAATAAAATGTCCAGCTAGCTTTTGCGTCGAGTGGAGTTGTCTATGCTTATGAAAATTGTTCCATCTGTCTTCAGCACTCCACTCTTTCGTTCAACACACTACGGGTTTGTTTAGGTTGAGTAAGTGTGAACTCATCCTTCTGAATGATTGTACCGCAAGTAGGACACGGAGCGTTGCTTTCCCGACTACATATTTCGACGGATGAACTACACTCGGTGCAACCATAATGTTGCAACTGCTTCACAGCGAATGCTTCATACCCGTGCTGTAGACTGAATGCTAATTCAAATTCTACTCGTTTCCCTTCATACTGGGAACCTGAAAGATTGACCGTGTTTGGGATAAAAAACACTCTTACTTCAATATCGTTGTCATCAAGGTCAAGGTGTATGACACCTGCAGCCTTCCTTCGATTTGGAGCAGTTATGGTTCCCTTAAAGACGCGTGCGTCTCTGTGGCTTTGTGACTGATCTTCCGATGACAATCCCAGATATCGTGTTCCTGGAACCAGACGCTTTATTCCGTCACCCGATATCCCCAACCATTCTCTGGGATATTTTGGCTTCAAGACTGACCGTCCACACTGTTGCATCTTTTTAATCATGGTTCGTGCGTCGAGAAGTTTGGCAGTATCCCCTTTCTGGTCGATGAATCCGATCCCAAGGAGACTTTTCAGGACGAATATGTAAAACATAGACATCGCAGAGGGTATCTTGTCATCCCAGATCTCCACTCGATTTAGAACATCATCAACAGTGTACTTCTTCAAGCATAATCTATGTCTAATTGCGTGTAACCATTCGATGAACTCTAGTTCCATTTCCCGTCGTTTTCTGTAGCTAACATGGTTGGTATAGGCCAAATTTTGGAAGATTTTCTCGTAGCATTCCACGATTTCCTTGATATCCTGAGGATTGTCGACGGATTCAATCAACGTCAGAGAGTCTTCCGTTTTGGCATATCGCTGCTTTCGAATGGCAATTGTCAACCGGTAGGAGCTATTGTCCTCGTGAACAGCTAAACCTTCAAGATTCATCATCTCTGCTTGAAATAGATGATTGTACCAGATGATTGTTTTTTTCAACCCAGCATCAATATCGTCCTTTTCAACCATCATGTAACATTCCGAGATCAAATTGGGAATGACGTATGCACTTTTTTGGATGAATTTCTTTGCTCTACATTTTCCATTTCCACTTGAAGACACGAACCCCTTGATTCCAACAGAAGCAACGTTTTCATTGCTGTAGTTACGTTGCACAAAATCACATACTTGGAGGCGGACTGTTATCTCTCCGATATATCCATATCCATTTTCTTGCCCAGTTGCCGTGAACTTTCTGCAGTTTTCAAATAATTTGCAGGCTTTCTTCGCTACATCTAGTATTTCGTCTAATCTTTCTCTGAAATTTTCATGTTTTGTCTCCTTTTCCGGCTTTTCATGCGCAGCATTTCCTGTGTACCAACCTACTCGCTTTTGCAATACCATTCCATACATATGGTATATTTGTACCAGTATTGCTTTTGACCGATCATCAATTGTGTCAATGTTTTCTTCCTCTTTGCACTTTGTACACATGTCCAGTGCTTTCTTGAAACATTCCTCGGTTTTTTCGACTTCGTCTGGTCGACAGAATGAGTAGAATCTGCCAAGATGAGCTAAAAAGCTTGCGTCATTTGGAAAGTTTTGTGTCAACTTTTCTAGAACCTGAAGTCGTTCAGTGAAGGATGGCGGATTGGAATAAATATCATTCATTACTCTTGACAAGACAGGTTTTCTTCGCACCACTTCTGAGGTCTGTCCCATTTCTTTGTTGTCTCGAACAATGAAGATTCTTGTTAAGCAATGGACAGTGATTTCGGTTGAAACCCCACTTTTCAAACTCTTGTTACTAGCATAATCTATCAGTTCTAGACAGAATTGTGAAAGATTACGCTTTGCCGATAAGCTAAGGTCATTACTGGTGTTGCCACTGTTTCTTTTGCCGCTACCAAGAATATATTCAAGAATTTCTTTCGCGATCAGATAATGACACGTTCGTATGTTCTTCCGTCTACCCTCGGTATCATCGGGAACAATGAAAAGTCCAATCGGGTGAGGAAAGTCGTCTATGTCAACCGAATAGTTTGATGGTTTGTGAAGCAGTTCTGCGAAGAATTGGCAAGGCAATGATGTATGTCCATAGAAGTACGCTAAGGATAGGTAGCCAAGAATTCTTTGTGTTTCGCCAATGAATTCACTGCATGGATTCCGACGAGGTTGTAGATATCCTCCGACATATGATGTTAACCCCGTAAACTCGTGAAGAAATGCAGACAGTCCAAACTCATATAGACAATGAGGACTATTTCCTTTGACATCATCATAGAGTCTGTTCAGTTCCCTTTTCTTTGTTTCGTCGTCTTTGCATTGTTCTATATATCGCATTGCCAGATGTTTTGCTTCTCCTACAGAAACGTGACCTTGCAATTTTTGAGAATGCTTATTCTCACGTACTTGGAATGGGTGGCGTTTTACGCAAATGATGATGGCAGGGCTTCTAGCATTTAACTCTTTGTACATAAATTTCACCCTTGATTCGTCCTCTCCGTCTATAAGCAGAATAATTGGTAGAAAGGTTTTCTCATATAGAAAATCAATCCTCTCCTTCAGGGTTTTGATCGACGTGTAAGTCCTTGTTTTCAGATGGATACATGGCACCTGTGTGTGAAAATCCCACAATAGTCTTTGGGAGAGTGTTGTCCCTCCTGAGCCAGGATCGTGGTAAAGGTATAGAAGGCATCCGCGATTTTCTTTGATATGCTCTTGTATTACCCGCGCAAACGATTCTTTAATGTCTCGCTGAACATCAAGAGATCTGGAATCACAGCCATACCACGTTGTCCAATGAAGTGTACCACCTCGGTAGAACTTGTTCTTTTCCTCTTGAAGAACTTGTAGATCTTCATCTACTTTAGCGTACGGACTTTTGAAGAACAAGACATCCAAATCTTCACGTAGCCATGCCGCATTTTCATCAGTTATGTCATGATTTGGGCAGTCATCTGAATGGGGGAGTTCAAATCTTCTAGACATTGGACGAGTATTCTGTTTCAAGAAGGCGTTCAACCCATTCAATATGTCATCCAAATCTAACTGGAAAATTGTAAGATTTTGCTGATATTCGCGACACAGTAACTCGTACACCGCCAGTCCCGTTGGTGTTTTGGGTTGTGATGGCATAAACATGACAATCTTTGGTGGTGGCTCGATGTTTTCATCTAGTTTTGACAACATCTTCTGCAGGAAAGGGGTGATGCTTTCATCATTCGGCCATACCACAACAACATTTAAAACGGTATAACCGATGGCAAATTTTCTGAGTTGTTCCACGTGGGCATCAAGCGATGCTTTTACGGTTTTGTACCATGCACGTATGTCATCAGTTGGAGTAATTTTACTCGTTGGATCATCTCTTCGACCTCGAATAAAGCACCACCTTGTTCCCTCCTCGACTATGCTTGCGACTGGCTCTTTCCATGTAGTAATTTGCAATGATCTGTCCTTTGAAATAATCCTTTCATTGGCGCGTAATAATCCTTTGTCTCTGCTGTTCATATCTAAGTCGAAAACTGCAATCCATGGAATCAGAGATATTGCCCCAAGATGAGATAATCGAGTAGAAATGTCACCTGACACTAACACAAAATGATCTTTCCTTATATTAATAGTTCTCTCTAGTTCTCGAACTGTGTTGTAGATGGTAGGTAAACTTTTTGTTACAGCTTTTGTTTTTCCTGCTTCTCTCTCATATTCTGCGACTAAGTCAGAAGTTGATGTAGATGATGAACCATCGTTGAACCATCGGTATATTCTTGTGAATGCTTCTTCCGTTGGTTCGCATACTATGTTTTCTAACATAGGCCGGTGCCACAGCTGTGATTTAGAGACACTTTGCATGCCATCCGTTTGTGAACATTTCACTATACACGGCGCTTTGTATCCCTCGCGGTTAGATATGCTAATCACTCCGAATGCTTTATCGGAAATTTTAGCTTCAAAGTAGGAGAATGGAGGAACGGTTGTAAAAATGTCTCTATCGAAAAAAGACGTAAAGTACTGAAGGTTGTATTTTGAAACCAATCCTTGTAAAAGAGTCTGTCTATTCGTTCCCGTGATTGCACCTAAAACAATATAGGAGGGCCTTGAAGAGGGTGTGTTCCACATACTCACTATATCTACCATGCATCTCAACGGACATTTCCGATAATCATCCTCACAAACAAACTTTAAAATCTGACCTTCTGGCCTGGACAACAACTCTTTCAACAATTTCCGGTTTTCGGTGTTCTTGTGTTTTTCGAGTGTTATGACCAATGGTTCCTTCCAAGAACCACTCGGTGGACTGTCAAAATGTTTCTGGGGCCTTTCCGAAGTTCTGTGATATTTTCCTTTTTTCTTTTTTCTTACGACTTCTTCCCATTTACCACGATCACGCGAATCTTCAACTTCAACTTCTGTATTTCGTGGTGTTATACTTTCTTCCTCTTCCTCCGCTGAAGACGTTGACGAAGATTTAACTTTTATATCTGTGACTTTTTGTTCATGATCAGACAACGGTGATGTTTGTTCACAGCATTCAGTTTCGGATAAAAACCGATCACTGTCATTACCATTTGCAGTGTGGAAAGAACCTTCAGTTTCAATACTTGAAGTCAACGAATCAGACCTCTTTAATTTGTTATATTTTTTAATTTTGTTGGATGGTTTGCGCATCATGGACCGTACCATCACCTTTCCCTTTTTTCTGTATTTTTGAAATGATTCGGGATATTTGTCGATAAATAAATCCAGAGGAATGCCTGCTACCTCATTGAATGTCGTAGCAGTAAAATGCCTACTGTATAACCGCTGAAATTCTGTTTCTAGAAGCGGCTGCGGCATTGGTGAAGGATGTGTTGCCAGTTTTGGGTTAAGTATGCTGTTGAGAAGACCAACCAATACTTCGTCCAGGTCAAGATTAGCTTCTCCCCGAGCTGAAAGAGGAACATTACAACCATTATAAATGTAGTGTGAATTTAAGTTGGTTGATCATCAAAGAGTTTATTCAGCTTCAGGAGCATTTTATTTCGTCGAAAATTCTAGTATTTTATTTGTATATCATGCCATTTATACTAGAAAATCTAAAATTACTAAAGAAAAGTAACTATCACGTAACTTGAGGGTAAGAATCGTTGGTTACTCGGAATATGTTAACGTTGCTATCACCCTAAACCTATTGCAAAGGGGCGATAGACGCCGCGCACTTCGGACTAAGCGAAATGTTCAGATCGTTTCCTTCAAGCAAGTCTTACAATAAAGACAATTTAGGAGAATATCACCACTCAGTCTTTAATTATAATGAAATATACCAAAAAAACACCATTGGTTGTGCCACAAATATGTGCAATCGTCGCGTGTCAATTACCTGTTTCGTCCGATAAAAATCTTTTTGCATTTTCGTAAGTTATAACTGTGTTTTCATTTCCAACGATTACGTTGCAACCTTTCTGTGGATATATGTAATTCATAATTTCGGATGGATCAGATCTTCCTTCTGAAAAGAAAAGAAAAAACGTGAAATCATGAACAAGTGTTTTGTACTTTACCTCTTCCACTTCTACTTTAATTTGGCGTTAAATACCGTTTGATTATTATATGAAATTACATTTATAACATGGAAATAATATGTACAATAAGACATGCAATGCCAGGATACACTAAAGTAAAACTTTTTTATCAAAGCTATATTGGTTCCGCTGTTTTTCCAAAATTTACGTAAGTTTTGAACATTTGTTTAATAAATGTATTTTCCTTAATCTAACGTTTCATCTTATAGCTCATCAGTATGGGTTTGGCGTACCACAATACAATAAGATCGATTGTTTAATATATTTTACTCTCTGAGCTGTTAAAGCTCTTTAATTAACACCGTTGCAATACTGCTAAAAAGCTAAGAAATTCGTTTGATGATTTCATAAAAGGCATAGGCTGATGGATATGTGTCTAGGCTTATTGAAATATTTTAAACAGATATATTTAAACGACACCTTTTTGGGGACTGATGCTGGTGTCTTGAACACCCAACCGGACTGGTCTGTTCGAACTTTGCTTTTTCGCCATCGTAATACTGTTGTTGTTAGGTTTTCCTCATACTTGGTCCGGATATCTGTAAAAGATGAAAACGTAATCGTTTGATAGCAAAACACTATAAATGTAAAAACGAACATAACAGCGACGTACATACAGATGTTTCGTCCTTTTTGGACTCGGCAGTGATGCTAGGGACCAAACAAGGTTAGAATCTAAATCGGTCTTAGCTACCTCTGAAAGAAGTGCAAAAAAACACCTCTTAATTATACCGAATTTCAAAGGTTAGAGGAGTACTTGTTATCATTTCAAATTAATAATGAGTATTGTATGTATGTTATGAAGTTTTCGCTACACTAAAAGGGATTATTGTGGCCATCGAGGTTACACAGCAAACCTAGTGGACTAAAGAAATCATCCAGCCGAGTCGATCACCTTTTATCTGGAAAATCGAACGTAAGACAATCAAACGTGAATGCACCTATCAATTGTGCAATAGATACAGTATACCAACACAGCTTTACATGGCACCGAACAACTGTTTTGTCCTTCTAGAACTCATCGGCGAGAAGATTCTGGAATTCATGTCGAACATACAAATGTACTAAATCTTAAAACTCCTGCTGAAGGCTTTGGTATGAATCAGTATTAATCATCAGTTATACATGTTACATATTCCACTTGAAAAAGGGCCAATTGAAAAAAGTATAAATTCTTTAATAGTTGCAAAATCGCTGTTTGAGAGATGTGTATTTTCTTGAATCCTTTATATGAAAAACTTGTGGTATAAAATTGCACTACAGTCAATTCAATATTTTTTTATGTTTGCTTAATGTGGATTTCAAAATTATAGAAACAAACACATTTCACATTACCTAATAAAATTCACTTAAAGCTTTCCTTACACTATGAGGTCTTATTTTGTAATTTCACATTTGAGGTAGACAATTTTAGACAGATTACAGGGATCTAATCTTTATAAACTGTGAGTTCTGATTAAGTTTTATCTGTGGTGCGCTTTTGGCAATATTCTGGTGACATTTCTGATGATAAGTAAAACGTGTCAACACATAGTCTGTGCACTGCTACCAGCATGACCTGGCCAAATGAATTGGGCACCGAAATGCTACATACTAGTACTTGTTATTTTTTGTGAGATTTAAAATGAATGCGAGTACACATGAAGGTGTTTCTATAAAGTATCTACTGCCAATCGACCAATGGATTTTGACTTTAACATTGCTCTCAATTGGCTTTAGAATTTGTGACAAAATTGCAGTTTTTTTACCATTATCAGACTAATATTGACATCAGATGAGTTTCAAGTTCGTTAAATAATTTCTGTGTTGTAATATATTCTAATAAATTATGAAATGATGATAATACTAAAGATGCATAGGTTCAAATGGAGTAACGTCTTCCTAGCATGGACAACTATGGCGCTGAATACGGTATAATTACGTGACAATGATGCTTTCTGTAGTATAAAATTGCACTACAGTCCATTCATATTTTTATGTTTGGTCAATGTGGATTTCAAAATTATATCAACAAACACATTCCACATTACCTTATAAAATTCACTTCAAGCTTTCCTTACACTATGAGGTCTTATTCATCATTTATCAGCCATTTTATAATTTCACATGTAAGGTAGACATTTTCAGACAGATTACAGGGATCTGATCTTTATAAACTGGGAGTTCTGATTAGGTTTCATCTGTGGTGCGCTTTTGGCAATATTCTGGGTAATATCGATTGTTTTTTCCTCGTCTGTATTGGTAAGTAACAATGTATTATTGTCGGTAATATCAATTGTTTTTTCCTCGTCTGTATTGGTAAGTAACAATGTGTTATTGTCGTTAATGTCGATTGTTTTTTCCTTACCTGTATTGGTAAGTAACAATGTGTTATTGTCGGTAATATCGATTGTTTTTTTCTCACCTGTATTGGTAAGTAACGATGTGTTATTGTCGGTAATATCGATTGTTTTTTTCTCACCTGTATTGGTAAGTAACAATGTGTTATTGTCGGTATTATCGATTGTTTTTTCCTCGCCTGTATTGGTAAGTAACAATGTGTTATTGTCGTTAATGTCGATTGTTTTTTCCTCACCTGTATTGGTAAGTAACAATGTGTTATTGTCGGTATAATATCGATTGTTTTTTTCTCACTTGTATTGGTAAGTAACAATGTGTTATTGTCGGTATTATCGATTGTTTTTTCTTCGCCTGTATTGGTAAGTAACAATGTGTTATTGTCGGTAATATCGATTGTTTTTTCCTCACCTGTATTGGTAAGTAACACTGTGTTATTGTCGGTAATATCGATTGCTTTTTCCTCGCCTGTATTGGTAAGTAACACTGTGTTATGGTCGGTAATATCGATTGTTTTTTCCTCGCCTGTATTGGTAAGTAACACTGTGTTTGTGTCGGTAATATCGATTGTTTTTTCCTCACCTGTATTGGTAAGTAACAATGTGTTATTGTCGGTAATATCGATTGTTTTTTCCTCGCCTGTATTGATAAGTAACACTGTGTTTGTGTCGGTAATATCGATTGTTTTTTCCTCACCAGTATTGGTATGTAACACTGTGTTATTGTCGGTAATATCGATTGTTTTCTCCTCGCCTGTATTGGTAAGTAACACTGTGTTTGTGTCGGTAATATCGATTGTTTTTTCCTAACCTGTATTGGTAAGTAACACTGTGTTATTGTCGGGAATATCGATTGTTTTTTTCTCACCTGTATTGGTAAGTAACACTGGGTTATTGTCGGTAATATCGGTTGTTTTTTCCTCACCTGTATTGGTAAGTAACAATGTGTTATTGTCGGTAATATCGATTGTTTTTTCCTCACCAGTATTGGTAAGTAACACTGTGTTATTGTCGGTAATATCGGTTGTTTTTTCCTCACCTGTATTGGTAAGTAACAATGTGATATTGTCGGTAATATCGATTGTTTTTTTTCTCACCTGTATTGGTAAGTAACACTGGGGTATTGTCGGTAATATCGGTTGTTTTTTCCTCACCTGTATTGGTAAGTAACTCTGTGTTATTGTCGGTAATATCGATTGTTTTTTCCTCGCCTGTATTAGTAAGTACTAGTGTGTTATTGTCGGTAATATCGATTGTTATTTCCTCACCTGTATTGGTAAGTAACACTGTGTTATTGTCGGTAATATCGATTGTTTTTTCCTC